TGTCACCTTCTGTACTGTTATCCCAGCATCTCCAGCGGTGCCTGGCATAGTGGAAGCAGGTGCTCAATAAATATTTGTCACAAGTATGTCTAAGGTATAAATTAATGAATATGCGATACCAGTCAGCTGATAGAAAAGCTAATGTGATTTTGGGCCTCATTAAGGGTCCACGTATATACGTAAAGAGGTGTAAGGAATTGGCTCACATGATTATGGAGGCTAGCAAGTCCCCAGTTCTGCAGAGTCTGTCCCAGTTTGAATCCGAAGGCCAGCAGGCTACTGTAGAACCAGGAAGAGCTGATGTCCCAGTTTGAAGGAGATGAGTTTGTCAGGCAGGAGAATTTTCTCTTACTCAGAGGGAAGGTTCAGGCCTTCAACTGATTCGAGGCCCACCCATGTTAGGAAGGGCAGTCTGTTTTACTTAGTCTCCTGATTTAAATGTTAATCTCATCCACAGACACCCTCACGGAAGTACTCAGAATCATGTTTGACCAACTATCTGGGCACCCTGTAGCCCAATCAGGTTGACACAGAATTAACCATTCCAGTGCATTTGCCAGACCGCACCCCAAACCCCAAGTCTTGTCCCGGGCACCACATTTCCGAGACTGTGCTGGTGAAGATCTGAAAACCACAGTATCTGGGGAGGAGTTGAGGGGACTGGAAATAGTGCCCCGAAGAACCGAAGTCATGATCGGGGTCAAATGACATCTTCAAACATTTGAAGGCTTGTCTCATGGAGAAAAAAAGAAGGAATGCTTGGTCTGGAAGGCATAGCTCAGGCACTTGGGTGGAAGGCAAAGCTTACAGAGAGAACAGAAATCTGCCTTGGGAGCTAATGAGGTGTTCTTTGTGGCAGGGTTAGCTCAGAGGCCAGCTCTGACCAGGAGTCAGAAGTCTCCTGTTCTGGTCTTGCTCCAGTGCTGATTCTCTGACCTTGGGTAGGCCAGTAGCTTCTCTGAGGTTTCTTCCTCTCTACTGTGGAAATCATAGTAGCCTCGTTCACAGGTCGCCCCGAGGATCAGATGGAAATAACATTACCTCCTAAATCTCGGTGGGGGTTGGGGGAAGCCTTTGTCCACGTCCAGCTTTTTCAGAGCCAGGAGAACGGGTGGTCAGGAGGAGTGCTGACTAACCCCTTGCCACAGCAGAAAATTTCCACTGACCTGCAGTCAGGGACACTTCACTGCCTCTGGCAGCTTTGTTTTCTTCATATTGGAATGTGCCTGAGGAGTGGCAGCTCACTGCTTTTCCAGATTCCTCAGCCGTGAGTGTATGAACCTAGTTGCCGCTGGCCCAGGAGAACACAGACTTGAGCGGGGTTGATGGTACTTGGAGGGATCAGCCAGGAGTTGCCCCTTCTTGGAGAACCAGCCATGCCATAGGATTGCTTTTCTGTGACTTGAGGATACATTTCCAAGTTGCTCCCTATTTCTTCTCTCATTTACACGGCACAGCCCACCTTCCACTCTGAAGAAACATACTCTCTGTAAAACGCTTAAAACTCAAGTTTTATTTTATAGCTGTCACGTGAATGAGGACAAAAGGAGTGGAGCATCGAGGGATGCTTGCCTAAACATTCAGAACTGTGCTGGCAGAGGGACAATGGCCTTTGCACTGTTGTGGGTTTTTTTCGGTGACAGGCTTGATAGAAATGGCTTTTTAGCACAAGTGAAAAGAAGATTTTACTACAGTGCTTAAGTCATAAAAATCAGATAAACACTGAAGTTCAGTGTTGGTGAGTAACTAAGCCTCGGAGGATTTGGACACAGGTTGGCATGGTTATTGTTTGGGAGGTAAACGGTTCAGGAACTTTTTCTTAGGCAGGCATTGTCAAAATAAGGTTGAAGCTAAACCGTCCCCACTGGTTTTGCTTATATAGAACTGGCATCAGGACATTTGGCAAGTGTCATTACCACAACTCACAGCACTCCGTGGTGCCTGATACATAGTAGGTGTGCAGGACGTGGCAACTATTGTTCGAGGTCATGGCTTATGTCCAGTGTCGTAATGATTAGTTCTGGGCTTTCTGGGCCAATACAAACCAGGAAGCTTCCCTTGTTCTTTATTAAGTACTCGACAGCCCAACTTCTAGCATAGAGAGGGCTGTCAATTTGGGGATCCAATCTGGGAATCCAGTAGATATTTGAATGTTACTAATAAGTGGTCAGTTCAAAGTGTAGGCCAGGATTTCTCAGTCACAGTACTATTGACATTTTGGATAATTCTTTTTTTTTCCTAAAGATTTTATTTATTTATTTGAGAGAGAGAGAAAGAACATGACAGAGGGAAGGGTCAGAGGGAGAAGCAGACTCCCCGCTGAACAGGAAGCCTGATACGGGACTCGATCCTGGGACTCCAGGATCATGACCTGAGCCGAAGGCAGTCGCTTAACCAACTGAGCCACCCAGGCGCCCCAACATTTTGGATAATTCTTGATTGTGGGGGCTGCTCTGTGCATTGTAGGATGTTTAGTAGCATCCCTGGGCTCTATTCGCTAGATAGCTCCTCCCTCCCAATTGTGACAATAAAAAAATACTTCCAGACATTGCCAAAAGTCCCAAGGGTGACAAAATCATCCCAGTTGAGAACCACTGGTATAGAGGAAGCTGCAAGGTACCCACACTACCCCTGACCTATAATAATGCTTTTCAAACTATGGATCACTCAGTACCAACTAACGCAGGGCTTCTCGACCGTGGCTGACCTTGGGAATCCCTCAGGGAGCCTTAAAATATTCCGATGTCTGGGTCCCATCCCAAAGATTCTAACTGGTCTGGGATGTGGCCTGGACCTTAGGATATTTTAGAAGCTCTTAAGTGCTTCTACTTTTCAGCCAAGAGTGAGACCACAGCATTAGTAGGTCATGGAATCAATTTGGTGAAGAACTTCTTTGCTAGCATTTAAAACAATACAGTAGTGCCCCCTTACCTGCAATTTTGCTTTCCGTGGTTTTTTTTTTTTTTTTTTTTTATCGGTGGTCAGCTGCAGCCTGGAAACAGACGATCCACCTTCTGACAAATTGTCAGGAGGCCAGTGGTAGCCTAACACTGCATCACAATGCCTGTGTCATTAACCTCACTTCATCTCCTCACATAGGCATTTTTTTTAAGATTTATTTATTTATTTTAGGGAGAGAAAGAGCGAGCGCACAAGCAGGGGGGAGGGGCCGAGGGGGAGAGAGAGAGAGAGAGTCGCAAGCAGCATCCTGATGAGCGTGGAGCCCAACATGGGGCTCAATCTCATGACCCTGAGATCATGACCTGAGCCGAAATCAAGAGTCGGACACAACCAACTGAGCCGGCCAGGAGCCCCTCCTCACGCAAGCATTTTATCATCTGACATCATCACAGGGTGAATATAGTATAACAAGATAGTTTGAAGAAGACCACATTCACATAACTTTTGTTTATAACATATTGTTTTTTTTTTTATTTTATTTATTCACTTGAGACACAGAGATACAGAGAGGGAGAGAGAGAGCATGAGCAGGCAGAGAGGCAGAGGGAGGAGGAGAAGCAGGCTCCCCGCTGAGCCAGGAGCCCGATGTGGGGCTCGATCCCAGGACCCTGGGATCATGACCTGAGCCGAAGGCAGACGCCCAACCATCTGAGCCACCCAGGCGCCCCTATAACATATTGTTTTAATTGCTCTGTTTTATCACTAATAATCTCTTACTGTGCGTCATTTATAAATTAAGCTTTATTATAGTTATGTATGTATAGGAAAAAAATGGTATATGTAGGGTTCAGTACTATCTGTGGTTTCAGGCACTCATTGGGTGTCTTGGGAGGTATGCCCCACAGATAAGGGGAGACTACTATATATACATATAATTGAATGGAAAATATTAAGGCCAGCACAATAGTTAGGATAAGTACTATTTTGTATGTACGTTAAGCTTGAAAACACTGCTGTAAGCAATAGAACCATAAGCAAAATCCGTGTTCTCAACCTGCTTTTAGTCTGGTTATTTATAATCCCTTCAGAAACTATTTTGCTTTTTGTTAGTGGTAAATTGTTAATGTGAAATTTAATACATTTATAGTTGTGTGACTTAGGAATTTATGAACCTTTTTGCTGACAATTTGAGGTTTCACCCTGGATATTAATAAAACCAGTTATTTTTGCAAAAGCTAGCCAATTAAGATGACATGCATATTTTCACCAACTAAATTTGATTACAGTGCAGCAACAAGATGATAATTTTCCTCCTTTGTATGTGTTAATTATATATACCATGATGTGCTGGGTCAGCAATTGTCTAAATACATCGAACAAGAATGTGGCACTTGCATAAATCATCCTGAAAGTTTTATGAGGATCAGTCTAACAGCCTCCTGACTTCATTATCTGTGGGTATTTGAGGGTTTACACAATAAACGGTAACATACATGCATCTTTCTTCTAGGAAGCAGTGTAATGTGGTAGAAGACTGGCAGTCTCCAGTCATTCTTTTTATCTCCGTGTTCAGGAGAACATAAACCAAAGGGGGATTCTTGCTGTGTCTCCGTGGTGGTGACTGTCGGTGGTAGATGCTATGGTCGTGGAAGACCTAGAAGTGAAGTTTACTTGCTACTGGGACTTTGGATTCCTTGTCCTGATCTTGAAACCCACTACGAGCCCATGACAACACTCACCAAGACTTTCTGCTCGACTTGAAACCCATTACTTGAAATTACTTCAATGTAGATATCAGAAAAAAACAGCAATGATAATTCACAATGCACTCTGCAAGTCTCTCATCACAGAGTTCTTTGAAAATTCTTACGTACGTCCTGCATCATTGGTAGTTTTATTGTTTTCTGGGAGAAGTAGCCTTGGGACTGTTTCTTGAATCAGCTGCTGAAATAAGATGATCTGCCTGTATAACAAAGAGAAGAGGTTGGATTGACAAATACCCATTGGTTGATAAGTGCCTTCTCTAATTAAGATTCAGCTCCCGGTGACTGCACCACATTAAATATGTATGTTCCTCTGTTCTATTCTATTTCCTCTAGGTGTCTCAGGGTTCCATGGTCCGATTTTCATCAGGAAACTTCTCCTTGTCAGCAGAAACAGAAGAAAGGAGCTTCCCCCATGGAAATGAACATCTGTTAAATTGGGCTCGAAAGGAGTACGGAGCAGTCACTTCATTCACTGAACTCAAGATAGCAAGAAACATTTATATTAAAGTGGGAGAAGGTAAATTTTATGTGGTTTCAATTAATGGCTGATTTATGACAATCGGTTGTTTTCTTTTCAGAGAGCAGGTGGTTAGGGCAAGGAATCCTAGAATTACAGAATGTCAGAGTTGGCAGGGACCCGGGAGATCATTGGGCCTGCTCCCCTCGTGCTCCCTCCTTCCCTTTTTCCTTCGGAGGAAACAGGCCTGGGAACAGCCAAGCAGAAAATGGGGAGTAGCATGGTTGAGAGAGGAGGAGGTTGCGGTGTAGGGTTTAGAAGACATCATGCACAGAAGTCAGAGTCAGGGAAGGGTGAGAATCTGAGGTGAGGGAAAGGAGGTGATCACTAGTGGAAAGAAGGAAGAGTTGCCAGAGTGAGTCAACAGTTAGGGCATCATCCCCTTACCTATTAACCTGCCAACATTGGAAGCCAATGTTAGTTTATGGTCTTGAAACATCGGTTAGATTTTGGACAATAGCAGAGGAAAAGTGTTTGCATATATTTTTAATACCCATGCCAGTTACAAGGACAAAATTATTGGAGAGCGGAACTGTGTGGCCTCGATCAGAGATGGCCCATTTTAATTTCCTTGCCTTGCAGAAGGATATATATATCTGGTCACTCAGCTTGAAGGCCCATTTTTAAAAATAACTTGTTTCATCGTTATTTTCAGTTGAGTATATTTGCAGCCCCCCTAAGTTACTAGAAATAACAGCTCTTGTGAATGAGTTCTTGTTATAGTCAGGTGATTACGTGAAAACTGCATGTCACATTGGCAGCGTCCATCTGCTTTCTGTTGAATTCTGCAGCACTTGCCACCTCTAACACAGGCAGCTTGACAGCACAGCATGGGTTATTGAATGCTTGCTCTTGGCCCGTTCTCATACCTGGGCTGTGTGACGGGTGCAGGAAAGGCAGACCCTGGTGCTGGAGTGTGTGCTGTGTGCAGAGGCCACATCGGGTGCTTTTCCCATGGACCCCACTGAACCTCTCCAGCAATCCTGGGAGGAAACCATTATTTCCACCATTTTACAGAGGGGTTAGTGGTGGGTGAAGCTAGCTTGCTCAAATCCACATTATTAGCAAGGGGTGAAGCCAGATTTCAAACCCAGGTTTCCTGACTCTTGAGTCTAATGCTTGTTTCCTGATGCCGTATAGTAAGTCTTAGCCAAGTAAGCGCAACCCAAAAATGCAAGTAGGCATCTGGATGGAAAGACTTGTTTCGCAGAGTAGAGAGAAGAATTTTAGATGAGTGTTGGACTCAAAAAGTTGAAGTTTGTTACTGGACTCTGAGGGTGGTCAGGTAGCTTATAATAGAAGTCAAATCCCATTGGAACAAAATGAAAAACCTCTTTTAACAAAGATTCTAAGCCCTGCCAGTGGTCTGCGTTTCTGAAGGAGAACTCTAGTAGCATAAAAGAATGCTGACTATTCACCCTTTCCCCGCTAGAATTTGTTAGAATAAGAAAATGTATTACAGGGCGCCTGGGTGGCTCAGTTGGTTGGGCGACTGCCTTCGGCTCAGGTCATGATCCTGGAGTCCCGGGATCGGGTCCCGCATCGGGCTCCCTGCTCGGCGGGGGGTCTGCTTCTCCCTCTGGCCCTCTTCCCTCTCATGCTCTCTGTCTCTCATTCTCTCTCTCAAATAAATAAATAAAATCTTAAAAAAAAGAAAGAAAATGTATTACAGTAACACTTAGAATGTTGAGCTGTTCTCCTGACAGTGCATGAACTTCTATGTGCAGTCGTTGCCTACCTTGAGAGTGAGGAGTTTAGTGATGTCCCCAGGGCCACACGCTGAGCCAGGGAAGAACTTAAAGGACCTGGTGTCCAGCCCAGTAAAAGCTGATGACTCCTTGATAACACCTTTGGAGCCCTTAAACTTGATTCCAGCCACCAGTTGGGTATGAGTCACTGGTAGACAGCATGGGGAAGAGCAGTTGGGAGAAATGAGGGTCCTTGGTTAGGTTGGTGGACCACAGGGTGATGTCGTCTGTCACCATGGATCAGGCTCCACTGAGCAGGACTCATCAGCCAGCTTCCCAGAACCTGACTTGTCTCTACCTTGCTTGAGTCCAGGGATCCCAGGCCATGAGCCTCCTCTTGCTGTATCCCCAGTGGCTCTCAAATATGGTTCCCGCCCCAGCAGCATCCTCATCACCTGGGAACTTATTAGAAACGCCAGTTCTTGGGCTCACCCAAGACTAACTGGATTGAAAACTCTGGGGGTGGGGTCTAGCCACCTGTGTTTTAACAAGCATTCCTGGTGATTCGGATACGTGCTAACATTACAGAACTACTACTCTAACCTGCATACCTAGAGTGGAAGAATCGAGGAGTTTCAGTTCTTATCCCAACCAGTCTCATTAACTGTGAGACTTCAAGCAACCCTCTGATTTGCCACCCATGCCTCAGTTTCCACAGCAAGAAAATGAGGAGTTTGCATTACCCCCCATGTTCCCAGAGTATATCATTCTAGGTTGGCAAAGTCATTTGTCAGTCCTTTCCTAAAATACAAATAAGCATGTGACTTTTTTCCCCAAAAAACTTGCCAGGTTTCTACGCGGGGATTCCCCTTTGTGGTTTCCTTTTTACTTGGCAGTTGGTGTAAGTTTTGATGCCAGGCGTGCGGAAGGTCGTTTGGGGGAAAAAGAACTCATACGCACACATGTATACACAACAGAGAGTGATCAGCGTATTCAACTTAGTGACAGTGGCATCTGGGACCAGCCCTTAATAATGGCAACTTTTAAACAGACCTTTCCTAGACACAACGTGGGTGAGTTTTTTGTTGTTTGTCTCAAATCTCACATCATTGTTTGTCAATTCAGGAAACCTACACCATGTGCCCACTCTACGCCAGATGCAAACCAGGCACACCTGTGAACTGGATGGATCTACAGGCCAGAGTCCCAAGAGGGTCCTAGTCTCTTGAGTTCCGGACTAGCTTTTCTCTGACCCATACACACCCCCTCTGATTCTTGATTCCATTTCAGTCTTGCCACCCGGGTATCATTTTCCATCCTGTGATCTGGGGGAGGCATCCGCAGGCCTGCAGCTGCACGGTGTGCGTTCCTCATCTGTTCATCTGGCAAAACCCTCAGCAGATGTGGGGGTGGGGGGAGGCTGCTCCAGCCGCCGGAGTCAGTGGAGCCCTGGCCTCTTCTCTCTGAGGGGGTCTGTAGGGAAGAATGCAGGGTGAAGAGCCTGCCTGCTGGGGCCTCTTGAGCTCCTCTGGTCCCCGCTAGTCTCGGCCTGGTGCCGAGGGTGCCACGGTGCCTGCAGCCGGGATGCCTCCACGTGTGCTGTAGACTTCAGCACGAGGGAGGTGATGCAGACTTGGGGGGGGGTTGGGAGCAGGGCAGCATCAACCCAATCTGGGGACCTCCTGGGCCGATCCCGCTCTCCTGAGTGAAACCTGCACATGAATTTGAACCCCAGCATCCTGTCTGTTAAATGAAAGAGGCAGAAGGTTGTTTCATTAACGTGCCAGGGCTCTGATTAATTACCCCTTCTGAAAAAAAGTTTGCTACACCTAGAACTTCCTTGACACTGGTCCCAGCTGTCACACGGCCAGCATTTTCAAGTTCTGTTTAAACATTTAAACCGCTGGCTGGAAATCCCATCAAGCGCAGTGCTGTGTAAACGGGAGTATCTTCAGACTCTCGGTACTTGTGTTGCTTTCCCTGGTGGAGGTGATGAGCAGCCCTCAGCACAACGAGATGATGTTTGTGAAAGCACCTTGTAAACTGTAAAGTATTACCAAAGTATTAGTCATCTGTGTCAAGATTGTGAGAAAGAGTGGAAGTCTGCCCTCATTGTTTGCCCCGAACTCCTTCCTTCAGTCTTTAGATCTGCAGTGTTGTGGTGAATAAATATGAGGGAATGACTAATTCTCCATAGCAGGCCAGAGAATTAATTAGGTGCTTGGTTCTCCTATTAATTGAAATAACAAATATCCAAGGAGGAGCATATCTGGGGAATAGGAAATAACAAATATCCAAGGAGGAGCGTATCTGGGGAATAGGATAGATCATGATTTCAGTAGTGAGTATGCAGGCTATGAACTACCTATTGGATTTTATGTGCTTGGTAGACAGAAGACAACACAAGTCTGCAACTCAGAAAAGGAGTGATGATCTAGGTGCAAGTTGAAGCCCTGGGAGTGATGGAGATCATCTGGGAAGAATATGAGATGAAACGGGGATTGAGGAAGGAACGGGGTTCTTAGCCTTGGTTTTGTATCAGAATCAACTATGGAGCTCTTCAAAAAGAAAGCTTCCTAGGCGGCCCCCACTCCCGCTCCAGATCTTCCAAATCAGAATCTCTGGGATGGGGTCCCAAATGGGTGGATTCTGGTGTGCACCGAAGATTGAGGATTGCTGGTGTTTAAAGAATGGGCAGAGGAGGAGGAACCAGGGAAAGGGACAAGAGATAGGTCAGAGGAAGTGAATGAGGACAAAGCAGTCTCACAGAGAACAGGAAAGGAGAAGGTTTAGACCCAAAGAGACCAATAGAGTTGGTCAGTAGGAGGTCACTGGCGACCATATGGGAGGCATTTCAGGGCCATGGCTGAGGAGTTCTAAGGCACTTCCTAGGGCTTGTGTTTCCCTGTGTCCTGAACCTGCTCAGTGTCACTGTCGCCTTCTTCCCTTCGATTCTGGTTACCACGTAGCTCAGCGGTTTGACGGATTATCCTGGGCTTCTTTACTTTCAGATCAAGTGTTCCCTCCCACATGCAACATAGGGAAGAATTTTCTCTCGCTCAATTACCTTGCTGAGTACCTTCAGCCCAAAGCAGCAGAGGGTTGTGTGATATCCAGCCAGCCCCAGGATAAGGAAGTACACATCATTGAGTTAATTACCCCCAACTCTAACCCCTACAGGTAAGTGAGTGTGATTGTGTGTGTGTGTGTGTGTGTGTTTTGAACGGAGAAGAGATGAAAGGGGTGCCTGGATGGTGCAGTCAGTTAAGCGTCCAACTCTTGGTTTCTGTTCAGGTCATGGTCTCCCGGTCATGACATTGAGCCCGTGTAGGACTCCTGGCTCAGCGCAGAGTGTGCTTGAGAGTCTCTCCCTCTCCCCCTCCCCCTCCCCCCGCTTGCTCTCTCTCCCTTTCTCTCTCTCAAATAAATAAATAAAATCTTAAAAAAGAGAGAGAGAGATGAAATAAAGATCTTTACTGACTTGAGGCAGAGAGAGGTACAACCCTTCCTGCGTAGAAGGTTAGATGCTTTGGGTGAATTAACAAGTTTTGAAAAAGGGAGTGAAGGCACCAATGGTATATTTTATTTTCTACACCTGTCTCTAGATCCCCTATATTCTAGATAAGTTTCTGAAGCCTCTTCTGAACTTCTGGGCACTGATATCTCCTTTGAGGTTATCCCTGATAAAAAATAATTATATGCCTTATTAACAATTATAATTTTAATAACATTCTGTTTTTAATAAAATTCTGTTCCTAGCATTCTAGTAGCATATTTGCACTCATACTTTAAAGCTGTGTGTGTGTGTGTGTGTGTGTGTGTGTAGGTGTGACCCTTCATGGTGACACACCAGAGAGCCATTAGATACAACCTGCCTCTTGCTTGTGTTCTTTTTCTCCTTCTACCCTCAGCTTCTTTCCCCAGGACTAAAAATTTAACTCTCCCCGCCAAAAATGGTTAGGGAATTAAAAAAGAGAATAAAAGAGGAAAAGTGGCTCTTTCTCCCACTTTAGCCTGCATTCCTGTGGACTAGTGACTTAAAATGTAAATTTATACTGTAGAGGGATTTCAAAGTTAAAAGTCTAATCAAATTTTGCTTTCAAAAGTGAATAAACTACACATCAGTTTTGGGAAGATTCCATTCTGTCCCACATGAAGAATTTTGTGGAAAATTTAAAAGAGAACGGGAATAGAGGAAATCTGGCAAATGTGCTTAGATATTAAGCCTTAGGCTTCATTTGAGTATATCATTCATCATATGCTTTACAAGTGTGTAAAACCAAATGGAAAGAAATACTTTCCTTTAAATTCAGAATGACAGAAATGTTATTGTTTGGTTAAAAAAAATCTTTTATACTGAGTTCTTAGAAGTTTGGGTTGTATTCATCAATTTTCCAGTAATCACTTGGTTGGCCATCTGTTTTCTTTATTTTAATAACTGTATATCCAGAAGTTTGGGAAAGTAAATATAGATATGATTCTGTAGCTAATGTTAATGGCTTAAGCAAACCTTATATAATAGTCAAATTTTCTAGCCTTTTGCTTATTTTATCTGAAGTGTCCTAGTTTGGTTTTTTGGTTTGTTTGTTTTGTTTTTATTACCAGGCCTCCCTCCTCCCTGCCACCTTCCTTACCAAACTGGCACTTAAATTTCTGGTTTTGAAGGATTTTGAGCATATAGGAAATTGGAAAGTTACACATTGAAGGTGTTGAAGGTTGAAAAGCAACAATTCTGCTTTAAAAGTACACTCCTCTGGTTGCCCAAGTCGATTTCAAACAGTGGATACATTAAGTAACCATCTTTTTTTTTTTTTTCCTAAAGAAGGAGAAAAATTTTAGCGTCCAATTATCAGCAGGCATATTTGTCTATTGTTATGTAAAACCATTTTGTTTTGTGTGCACTAACAATCTGTTTTGCACATGTCATTTGCCTGGGATCAACTCCAGCTTTTTAATCAACTGGCCAGACACTGGAAACATGAAGACTTGGAAGAGAGGAGAGAGTTGCAACTTTCTGGCATTTGGGTCCTAACTTTGCCTTTGTTTTCCATTCACAGTGCTTTCCAGGTGGACATAATAATTGACATAAGACCTTCTCGAAAGGACCTTGAGGTGGTCAAAAATCTCATCCTGATCTTGAAGTGCAAAAAGTCTGTCAACTGGGTGATCAAGTCTTTTGATGTTAAGGGAAACCTGAAAGTTGTTGTAAGTTGGTCGAGCATTTCTTTGTTTTGATGCATGGCAGCAATTTAAGCTGTGCTTATGTGTGTTATTTTTGCGAAGTTTCTGCTTCTCTGAGCTCTCTCTGTTGTTTTTCACTTTGTGAAATAGGCTGCTCCTTGGTTTCTCCTGACAAGGGCAGACAGTGTAGTGGTTAAAAGCGTGGCCTCTGGGGTCAAGATCGAGATTTGAGTCCAGACTCTGCCATTTAAAAACGGTGACCTTGGGCTAGTCCCTTAACCTCTCTGGACCCTGTTGCCTCATTTGTGAAATTCCTGAAGTGTATAAGTGTAGTTTCCAGTCAGAGTAAGTGTAGAATAACGAGCATAATGGGGCCTTTCATGGTTGATAGTCCTGTAAGGGCCTCAGTGTCGTGGTACTGACTATCAGCTCTTACTTTAGGGTGAGGTATTTAGGGAAGGTGTGGAAAATGGCGCTGACCCCAGCTCCTACTGTTGACTTTTCTTTTTGAGATAAGTACATGCTATTGGCGTGTCTTTTTGCTTCTCCTGACTTCTGAGAGAGAAACATTGATAAAAGAATCACAGTAACGGAGAGGTTAGTGAAATGATACAGGAAGAGTACCCCCAGCCTATTCCCTAAACATTATTTTCGTGAAGGAAATATACTTAAGAAATTTAATTGGTTGGTGTGATAGGCAAACAGCAGCTAATCTCCTGAAAAGTTGAATGTTGAAATTTAGTAAAATAAATTTTTTTAAAAGATTTATTTATTTATTTGAGAGAGAGAGTGGGGGAAAGGTCAGAAGGAGAGGGAGAGAGAATCTCAAGCAGACTCCGTATTAAGTGTGGAGCCTGACGCGGGGCTCGATCCCACAACCCCAAGATCATGACCTGAGCTGAAACCAAGAGTCGGACACTTAACCAACTGCACCACCCAGGTGCCCCCAAATAAATCTTTTTCAAATATGTTTAGGAAGATAACTGTTTGACAGAGTGTTGCACAAATTACATTGAAAGTTAAAGGAAAACTCCCCCTCTTCATTTTTAAGAATATAACTATCTTAGAATCTCTTTCGTAGATTTCAATTCTTGTGCATTGTCTTTTTAAAAAATTGCGTCTGATTCCTTTTTCAGTACCTGCATTGTATCAGTTGGAGAGGATTTTATGTTTTCAGTATTTGGCGGGGGAGGGCTGCCTTTGGTTTGGGTGTTATCTGTCCTTCAGTGTGATACAGCAGTGAACAAAGCCGGTGCTCCCCTAGGTACCATCGTGCACGAGCACTCACCAGAGGCAGCAGGCAAAGCCACGAGCATACACATCTTAATTTTAAAGTAATCGTTTCTGGTTCCTGTGGGTTTTTTTTTTTTTTTTTAAACTTTGAGAGGATCCAAATAAACCATCGTGTGTAAGGGTGATCCATTAATTTGGTGTCGAGAACAAAGCCCAGCCGTGATTTTCTGAAGTCAGAGCTGTTTTGATTGCTTTCCCTGGCATGGCATGAGGGGTGTTGGTGACCTGGGGTGTCTACAGCATTTGCTGCCTGGCACACCAACCAAATGTTTTTAATTTTCAGAATAACAAAAACAGGAAAGGGAATCATGCTTTGAAAGGCAAAAACATACGGTACATTTTAATTCCCTGCTGGAGTTGTGTAAATGTTCTTTCGGCCCTGACCCTTCAGTGGCTCTTTCTGTACCTGAGCATGTGTTCCTGGAGTCCGCTGTGAATGCCTTCACTTTTCATATGAATAAGAAAGGCTAGAAATGAGATTGCTCATCCCAGTGCAAGATCTGTTTATATTCATTCCCCTCTTTGGCTGTACTCCTGTTCCAGGCCAATTTTGGACAATGCATGACAACATTACTAAACAATTAGGTAATGTTGCATGATGTTCTTTTTTATTCTCCCAATCCGTTTCATGCTTTGTGATTTCCTAACTCCCAGTCTCAGATGTGAATTCTGCCTGTGCTGTGAGGGGAAGGTCCCTGCTACTAAAAAAACATACAGTCATGCTTAGAAAGGGGATAGGGTTTATAATGGCCTTGTTCATAGTATTTTCTTCAGAGACAGCCTGGTAGAGTGGCAAGAACCATGGCTTTGGAGCCTGACAGGGCTGGAATCAAATCCCATTTCTGATTGTCATTCCTCTTAGTTGGTAGAGGAATGGCAATCCTTAGCTGATAGTCTGTAGCCTTACCTACGAAACGGGTATGATGATAGTACTCACCTCGAGAGTTCTTGTGAGGTATGGTAGAGTTCGTTCATTCCTTCATTCATTTACCTGTTCAACAAACATTTGTCAGGTGCCTACTGGGTATTTCGTCTAAAGCACTTGCCACACTGGGTGTACATGGTGGGTTCTCCACCATATGTGCTATTTCTGTGTATCTCAGGGTTCCCCTCTTTAATCAGGGAATAAGAATGCCCATCTCCTTATATTTTACAGGAGAATTAAAGAACATATGTAAAGCTTCTAGCACAATGCTTGCCATAAAAAGGGAGTTCATCTTCCTTCCACAAGCAGTTTTTCAAAAATTTGTCTGTAAGAGCAACTTCTCTAAACAAAGTGAAAAACAAAATGTCTACTAAAAGAATTATAAGGAACTTGATGGGGTCAATGTAAAGAAGAGCCCCATTAAACATGAATGGCATGTGTGTGCTTGTAGGGGGTGGGGCATAGGGCAGAATGCACCCTTCAAATGACAGAACGGTCCAAAGAGATGCAAAGGACAGGACTGTGGACAAGAATGGGAATACTGGAAGCATCCACAATGCCCAGCTCTGGCTCTTTCTTCAGGCCCCTTATGGACCATGCGTAATCACATTTTGGAAGAACCTCCAAAACAAAAGAATAGATGGAGGAAACTTATTAGAAATTTTTTGTTATACTATTTCAGATGGCCTTAGCACTTCAAAGTTGATAGGCAGCTTGTTCTTAGAAAAGACATGTTTTAATCCCAGTGGGAATATGCATTACATCTCTGACCAACCTCTCCCCCTCCACCATCAATTCTGATGCAAGTGTGTGTTTGGCAGTGGAGGGGAAGGAGGGAGGGAGGTGCTTGGACTCTACCTAGCTCACCATCCTTCACAAAGATGTGGCTGAAACATAGTGGTGATATTTGGAGGACCCCCTCCCCGGGAAAACTCCCATTTGGAGTAGCTACACTGAAGCCTTGGAAAAGCCTGGGGACTCCCAGAAATACAGGGTGAGGAATTCGCTCATTGCTGGGAAGGAACCAACTTGCCAAGCCTTGCTGTTTTACAAATGTGTAGTGGATAGATTTCTAGCTTTGTAAGTCCTGAGGCGTAATCAATATGAGTTGTACTGACAGCTCCTAGATTTAATGTGGAAAGGTGTAAACAAATCATTCCATACTGGTACAAAAAAGACAGGTGGCAGTTGTGATGATAGTATTCTGGAAATACAGTATTTTCTCAGCTGTCCAACAACATGAAAGACTAGGGCAGATGAGGCCAAGCAGTCCTGTTTAGGCCAGTGTTGCAAGTCCAGCCAACCAAAACGACATGCTGCTTTGAAATGCTAGAAGCTGCGCCTAAGAAACTAAGTTTTAAGAACGAATTGGATCCTTCTTCACTTCATTTTAGTTTAGTTTTTTTTTTTTTTAACCCTTCCTTCCCCCAAGGCGTTTTCTCTGAATCAAAGTAAGAGCTAGAAGATTCCAAACCTGTGAAACTGAGTTTTTCACAAATGGCTGCGAAGCATGGTTCCTTCTCATGCATGATTGTGACTGGCCAGTCACACAGCTTCGGAGAAGCACTTTGGGTAACAGAAAAATACCCTGGGGGAGAGCCTTTGAGCTTTGAATTGAAAATATGTGTCCTCAGCCAATATCCCACAACCAAAGAGGCCAAGAGAACTTAGAGCCTGTGAATCTTCTATGGTTTTGCAGTGGGAAAGGATTAATATTTAGTCCTGTTAGGGGCAAATAGAATGGGAAACAAATGGGGAATTTGGGAAAAAATGCTGCATGTATGCAGGAGAAAATAATTGGGCATGGAAATTAAAGTGATCTTTATAGGGCATGAAAATGGTCTGATCTGCATGCCGGCAGGGCTTGCCAGCCTTGTTGGAGCACTTGTTGGAAAGGTGGTGCCTTGGGTTTGGCACCTCCCCTGCAGCATTCAGCTCCCTCGCATCCGACAAGATCACTGCCCTAGGAGCCAGGTGATGTGGAAATTGACCATCCATGTCTTGGTTACTCAGTCCTTTCTTGGAAGGATTTCTGTCATTCACTATTAATTTTGTACTAATTACCAAGTGAAAGTCAACTTGTATTGCTGGATGAAATATTGGTTAGAGAGACAATAACCCAAATTAAGGAATTAATATTTAAAAGACAAAATCTAAGCATATTGAGTTAATAAACTTGACAAAGGAGTACAGTGACAGGATCACTAAATTGATCATAAATTATAACTGAAATATCAGTGCTGGTTATTTCACCATATGGAATTTAATAGTTTACAAAGATGAGACGGTCTCCACAGTGAGGTAACTAGGTTGTGCCTTCTTTCATTTAAATCTAGGGTACCGGAGATAGAAGCAGGGACATATTTTTGGCAGGATAACATGCACCTCTGTATATTTTATACATCATTTTAAGTAAAAATAAGGGAAAGTTTGATATGTATGCGTATATAATTTAAACATTAAACTAACTCTAGTAACATACTAGGTATACTTAGTATGTAGCTACTTAGTGATCATTGGGTTATTTTTATCAATATAAGCAACCCAAATGGTATGATCAAACAGCATGAATAGATTTCTCTTAATCTGCTATTAAAGATTTTCATGTCAGTGTCCTTAGTCCAAGGAAAATAGGGATCAAAAGAATAAATAGTTCCTTCATCTACAATATGTGGAATCTGTTTGTTTCAGATATTCAATTCTTATTTAAAGCACTGTTTAGTTTTAGACTCATGAGTGAAATTTTGCTGTCATCTTTAGGCTCCTAACAGTATTGGCTTTGGGAAAGAGAGTGAAAGATCCATGATAATGACCAAATCAATAAGAGATGACATTCCTTCAACCCAAGAGAATCTGGTCAAGTGGGCTTTGGACAATGGCTATAGTCCAGTAACATCATATACAGTGGCTCCTGTGGCTAATAGATTCCATCTTCAGCTTGAAAACAATGGTAAGTGTGTTTTTTTTTTTTCCTCAAGTAAAAATATCCACCAGATGAGGCTTTCCAATGAGGAACTCTCATTTCAGGTTATATGGTGCTGTTGTTCTGTTGTAAATTTTGATGATTCATTTGACTACATTTTACTATAAAGCTTAAGGTTATCTAGAATTGTGATCGATTGTTTTGAGGAAATGGTCTTTTTCGTACAGATTTTTCACTAACAGAGTTGATTGCATGTTGGAGAACTTCGTTGTAGATCACATAATTCACTGTGATTACATTAGGAGCAAATCAGCCTGGGTTCTTCTCTCAGAAGTGCCTACTAATCACTTACAGCTGAGGTACAGCTGCTCCTACTACAGGGGAGAAGTCCTAGGTCAGACTGTAGTCTTACAGGACGGTCGTCACCAGGCACTTTCTCGATCTCACCCAGAGGGAACACAGGAGTTCTTACCCCAATTGGATGGAGCAGAAAATTGAATATTAACAGGTTCTTGAGGTTTTTCCAGAACCTCATAGCTAGCGAGACTCAAATCCCAAGTTTTCTGATCCCCAGACCTGTTCCTTACCCCAGTCATACTGCTACCAAGCGTGAGTAAGGGCCATTTATTCACCGTTTCAGGGGGAAGTTGCTTAACCTCTGAGCCTCAGGTTCCTCCTCAGTATTATGGGAGAAAAAATAGGCCCTACCTCAAAGAGTTTTGTGAAGGTTTCTGTCAACGTACAAATTAAAAACCTTCCAAAGCTCTGATTTCTTTTGGATCCGTATGGCTGTGCCATCTTTTTCCAAAAGATAGTATTGAAGGAGAGTTCATGTCCTCTGGTTATCTTCACTTCCTGCTCCCACTGAGGTAGACTGACCTCAAGCATTGGCTTTGAGACTGGATATGGACAACACTGGGAAAATTTTTCTTCCCTAAATTGTTGAAAATAGAACAGAACACTGAGCATTAATTATATGCAGATATGTCTCTCCCTTTGAAGGAATAAGTGTGCCTAAGCAGCTTTCTCTTTTCAGGACTAGGTTCTAAAAGGCCAGGATGCCTAGATAGCTGTTGGAATTTAGTAGTCAGAAAGGAGATAGCGAATAATTTTAAAATGCCAATATTGTTTCAAGAATTCCTTAGAGAAATTATGCTAAAGAATCTCTAGATTCAAGGGAGGTATTTCAGTGGCCCAATAATATATTGGGACAATAATGTTCTTATTCAAATCATAGATTTGTATAGCTTGTAGAGCCTTAGAAGTTATCTAGTCCAGTGGTTCTCAACCTTGGGTGTACATTGGAACCATACAGAGAGCTTTAAACATATTAATGATTAGGTCCCACTCCAGAGAGTCTGATTTTTATTTGACCTGGGGTACAGCCTGGGTATAGGGAATTTTTTTCAGTTCCCCAAATGATTTTAATGTGCAGCCAAAGTAGAGAACTATTGATCTAATCCAACCTCAATTTTAAAAATTAGAAAACCAAGACACAGAGAAATAAGCCATTGGCCCCAAGCCATTCAGTCAGTTAGAAAGAACATCAGGACTAGAATTCAAGCTTCCAGATCCCCATCTCTTTTACCCATTGCTTGTGAAGAGTCATTTTACACATGCCCATTCTGTGCTAGTTCCCCTTGTTCCTCCTTCTAATGATGATGATGATTGTGGCCTGGCATCAGACACTGATGATGTTTCGCCTTCTTCTGTCACCACCAGAGGAAATGAGAGATGAGGAAGTCCATACCATCCCTCCTGAGCTACGGATCTTGCTGGACCCTGTCGCCCTGCCTGCCCTGGAGAACCCACCCATCCGAGGAGACGGAGGCCGAAATGGAGGTTTCCCCTTTCCTTTCCCCGACATCTCCAGGAGAGGCCAGAAGGAAGGAGGAGAAGATGGGATCCCCCGGCCAAAGACCCCGGTCCTCCCCAGCATACAACTGTTTCCTGATCCCACAGAGCCCGAGGAGGTGCAAGGGAACATGGAGGTTGCCCTGTCAGTCAGATGTGATGATGAGAAGATGATCGTGGCTGTAGAAAAAGATTCTTTTCAGGTCAGTGCAATTTCTTAGAGAAGAGAAAGCCACCTCCTTTCCCCTCTTGCGCCAGTGTGTGTTAGTTATTTCCTTCTCGTTCTTTCACTTTTGAACTCTGGGGACTTGATACTGTTTTCTCAGTTGGATGGACTCACTTCCCCTTGGCTGGGAGTCTCACTCAGGTCCTGTTGTTCTCAGTTGAGGGGGTCCAGATCCTCATGTGTCAATATTTTGGTATTGAATTTCCAAGGCCAACAAACACAATCCTTGGTAGGTTGGGAGGAGGCGAGCAGGGAGGGGAAATGCAGGCCTCCAGCAACCAATACTGTATGGGAGGACCGGGCAAAACGTGCTCCCCGTGTGCTGCAGACCTGCCTGTGGGCCCCCCCTTTACGTCTTTGGTGGTGGTTGTTTCAGGCCAACAGCTACTCAGGGATGGAGCTCACCCTGTTGGATCCTACCTGCAAGGCCAAGATGAATGGCACCCACTTCATTTTGGAGTCTCCCCTGAATGGCTGTGGTACTCGTCACCGGCGGTCAGCCCCAGATGGTGTGGTTTACTATAATTCCGTGAGTGTTCTCCAAAACAAAGCTTGGCCCTTTGCCACAGCCTTGCCGTGTGTTACCTTAAAATTAGCCTTAAAGTTTCTATGACCATGAGCAGGGGCATGTACTCCAGGCCTAAACAAAGCCAAGCATCAGTTCTCAACAAAATGGGATGTACTTTGACCCTGAGTCTACACAAATGAGCTAACCAGCTACATGGTCTCTGTGGCATCATTTGAGTTTTGTCCAGAGATGGGAGGACTTCTCCTTTCCTCATGAACAAAAGAACCAAGAGAAATCCGAAAACAGCTCTCAAGAAATTATTATTAAGTCTCTCTCCACCTCTGAGAAAGATCCTACATTGAAGCAAATCAGGAGATTTGCTACTTTTGACGTTACCCAAAGCGAGATTACATAGATTCCCCCAATGATAACCCACTGCAATAGCTAACCTACACTTTTCAGAAATCCTTCTTGTCAGCTCATTCATCTAAATCTTTTTTCTTCAGGGGCGCTGGGTGGCTCGGTTGGTTAAGCGACTGCCTTCGGCTCAGGTCATGATCCTGGAGTCCCGGGATCGAGTTCCGCATCGGGCTCCCCGCTCTGCAGGGAGTCTGCTCTTCCCTCTGACCCTCCCCCCTCTCATGTGTTCTCTCTCTCTCTCTCAAATAAATAAATAAAAATCTTTAAAAAAAAATTTAAATATTTTTTCTTCAGATTAAGCCAATTCTTGCAGAAATACACACTAGGCAGTGAATATTAAAATAATTTGAAACATGAAATTTCACAAGTACTTTATAGTGTTAATTTTGCAGTTCAGGTTATACTTTTGATGGTAAAAATAAGGCTCATAAATCCCCGAGTTCAGCTTTGGCATGGGACAGGGTGGGTGGGACTGTCATTCATGTCCGTCCCACTGCCCTTCAGTAGATACACTTGACCCATCCAGAAGAAAGACTGGAGATCAGGTGCTCTGTCAGGGTGGCTCACGTGGGCTCTGACTCTCCTATGGACCCAAGTTTATTATTCTTCAGACTTAGAGTGTTTGAGCTGGAAAGAACCTTCAGATGATCTCATTCAACTTCCTCATTTCACAGGTGAGGAAATTGAACTCCCGGGAATTAAGAGTCTTGCTTAGATTTGAGGAACTAGTCAACGGCAGAGCCAGGACTGAATCCAGCTTCCTGACCTCTCATCCACTAATCTTTCCCTGACACCAGGCTGGCCCAGCTAATCTCTCTTTGTTACTGGAATAATTTATTAACCTTTGACCTCTATGATGAACACCCTCCTGCCAATTCCAACACTAAATTTTCTTACATTATCCAGTTTTTCCAGGTATAATGAATGGCATATATTACTGATATACTTGATTTTGGAATTTTAAGTTTATGACTAAATTAATACCAATAAGAGGCTATGGTAATCTGTTAAGTAAAACAAACACACACACAAACAAAAAAATATGCCTCAGAAGAGAAAGGTATATCTTAAGCCTTTAAAATCCCTTTCTTCTCATGGGTGTGTGTGTGTGTGTGTGTGTGTGTGTATGTATTATGATGATGATACATAGGGTAAGCAATGTCCTGGGTACTTGGCTTCAATTCCATCAATACTTCTTTCTGTGGAACTGGTAAAGAATGGAGAAGTGGTTTTCCTATATTCTCTTCCCATGCTGTTCCCTTCAGTGAATATTGTAGCTGTTCCAATTATAACTGTAGCAATTTTCTGACTTATTACATATTTTTGTTTTGCACCATATTCAAAAATCTAAGCCCATGAAATAAAACCAAACAAAAAATGTGACTATTCTAATGCAAAGAAATTAAGATTTTATTTACGGAGTCATGGTCCTCAGGTGGATTTTACATGTTATCTAGAACTAACCTAGGAATAGTCATTTCAACTAACATTAAGATAGATTGTCATAGATAAAAACACGATTCTTTCCTGCATCTGTACACCATACACAAAGATATGGAGGAGGAAATGAGGAAAAGATAGAGGAGTACAGAGAAAAGATGAGGAGACTAGCTCAATAGTAAACATTAGGTACTTAGTTTCCAACTCACACTTTATACAAATCTTGATGGGTACAAATAAGAAAAGCTCTTCGAATTAGGCTGCTCTTAGTATTTGTTAGAATTTTTGATGTAAAGAGAAGCCCCCCCTCCCCTCCAGTGTAGACTGGCCTACTGACAACCCTGTTCAGCCCTGTTTCAGTGCCTGGTTTTTTCCCACTGTTTGAAACAAGTCTTACTTTTTACACAAGGAAAAATGCATATTTTAGTTCAAGTCTTAATTTGAACGTACGTTGGGTTTCTCTTTATTTTTAATCTCTTTGAAGGTAAAATCCTAAGAAAACTTGGAGTTTTGGGGTTTTTTTAAGTTCAGATTTTCGGTTTGCATCTGAATTATTACATGGGTGTCTGTGTGAGGTAGAACCAAATCCTGTGATTTGGTGTCATAACCATACCGTGCTTTCTTTGCCCTTTAGATTGTGATACAGGTTCCGTCACCTGGAGATAGTAGTGGCTGGCCAGACGGTTACGAAGATCTGGAGTCAGGCGATAATGGATTTCCAGGAGATATGGACGAAGGTGATACCTCCTTCTTCAGCCGACCTGAAATCGTGGTGGTACGTTTTCGTTTGCAGCAGGTAGTTTGTGAGAATGTTGTCTTTTTGGTTGGCTTTAGTTAGGGACTATTGGGTGGGGCAGGGAGGGGGAAATGGATGTTAAAGACCAAAGCTTACAGAGTTCCAGGGTCTTCATCCTTCATTTGACTGGGATTTATCTCTGTTTTGTTTGTCTGTTTGTTTTCCCCAGTTTAATTGCAGCCTGCGGCAGGTGGGGAATCCCAATAGCTTCCAGGACCCACCCAACAGAAACATCACTTTCAACATGGAGCTGTACAACACTGACCTCTTTCTCGTGCCCTCTCAGGGGGTCTTCTCCGTGGCAGAGAATGGACACATTTATGTTGAGGTATGAGACCTGGACATTAGCCTTGGGTTTTTAGGTTAGGGCAGAATTGTCGTAGCTCCTGGGGCAGAGCCAAGGTGCCTGCCCCAGAAGACCTCATCATGCTCTTCCCTGCGGCCCTTAACCAGCTCTCCGTGAGGGCTTGGCTCAGAAAATGCATCCAGGTTGATTTCTGACCAAAGTAAGTCATTGCAGGATTTGCTACATGGGGAGAGCGTTTTACAGATGAATGCTTTTTTAAAAACTGGTGGTGTGATGGGGCACCTGGGTGGCTCAGTTGGTTAAGCGTCTGTCTTTGGCCTGGGTCATGATCCCAGGGTCCTGGGATAGAGCCCTGCGTCAAGCTCCCTGCTCAGCGGGGAGCCTGCTTCTCTCTCTCTCTCTGCCTGTAGCTCCCCCAACTTGTGCTCGCTCTCTCTCTCTGTGTCAAATAAATAAAATAAAATAAAATAAATCAGTGGTGTGAATTCTACTAATAAAGCCCCGTTCTTGCTTGTCATTAGCATTTTTGGAACAGGGGTTCAGTAGTAGAACACACTTTAGTGAAATGCTGCATGCTACCCTATCTCATGAAAATTAAGGTTTTTTTAGATCATTATCTAAATGTGTTAAGCTGTTCCATATATGTAATGGTAATGATTATGCATAGCCTAAGTCTGTGGAATAACTATAAAAATATTAGGTAGTGGTAGTAAGAATGAAGTAATAACAGCTAATATTTGTTGCAGATTTATTTTGTGCCAAACTTGGTTATAATTATTGTAGTAATTTACTCTTCAAAGCAGTCCGATGAGACAAGACTATTGATATCCCCATTTTAGGGGTGAGGAAATTGAGGCACAAACTTGTCTAAGGTCAGACAGTAACTAGTGGAGTTCAGAGTAGGGTCCATACTCAGGTTGTCTGGCTCAAGAGCCCACTCGATGCTATCATTTATCCTCAAAGTGCCATTTAAAGAGGAGAAAATGTGACCACTTAGCAGTGCAAATATCCAGGTTTAGATTAGATTCTAGGATATCTGCTGGTCTTACAGGAACATCATCCTCTCCTGAGCTAGTTTTGGGGCTAAACTGCAAGCTGGTGTTCTACTTTACTGTGCAAGGAGTGAGAAGCTTACGGGGTCGAAATGGGATACTTCCATACGTTGAAAGTGACTTCAGAGCACATATTTCTGTTTCAGAAAGATAAATAACTCTCACATTTGTTCAGATTCTGGGATAGAGCCCACTGGCTCTAGACATTTTCCTGGATCTCTCCTCTTTTTTGATTCCCTGTTTTGAGAGGTCTTCTCTTTCTTTGGGTATACCTTCTTTCTCCACTGGGGAAAATATACTGCTTTCTACATGCTGTTCCTAATTTATAGATCTCTTCTTATCCAAGAGCATTATTTTCTTCTTTCATTTCTGGCTGCACAATCCACCTGTGTGCATTTGGGCAGTGACTCTCTGTCATGCCCTGGGTTTTAGGGGCCCTGCTTAACTGCAGTTTGTTCTTTTCCAAATGTGTACCTGGCTCTGCTAATTTATGGCTTTGCTGCTCTATGCTAATCACTGGCCAGTCTTCCTTCTGTATCCTACCCTGGGAGTTTTGGTTTTTCTTCCCAGTCCACCCAGTGCTGCTTACTTGAAATTCTTTTTTTCCCTTATTTTCACATTTATATCTTTTCATATATCATCTGTATTTTTCATAGTTAAATTTAGTCAAAGACATTGTGAAATGATGAAAAAGAAATGGACTGAATCTATTTGCTACCATTTTATTTATTTATTTATTTATTTATTTATTTATTTATTTATAAAGATTTTATTTATTTGACAGAGAGACACAGCGAGAGAGGGAACACAAGCAGGGGGAGTGGGGAGAGGGAGAAGCGGGCTTCCCGCCGAGCAGAGAGCCCGATGACGCGGGGCTCGATCCCAGGACCCTAGGACCATGACCTGAGTGGAAGGCAGACGCTTAACGACTGAGCCACCCAGGCGCCCCTATTTGCTACCATTTTAAATATCAGGTGTACTGAGAGTTTGAAGAGGGTGGTATATGTTTTAAACAGCTTTATTTTAAAGTTGTTTAAAACCACCTAAAATAGAGAATCTGTAAATATTTTGCAAAATAAAATAGCAGCCACACCTAATCTTTGTTTCTGTTTGGACTCCAATGCTGGTAAGAAAATTTTTTTATTTAAGGTAAGTAAAACTCACTGAATCATTGGTTTGGTCTAGAGAACTATTTCCAAGTTTCTTCTCCCAGCCATCCTTATCACACCCCCAGAATCCTGTTCCAAGACATTATTGATTTTGCCACCTGGTCTTTGGTCATCTCTGGGTGATAGTTGGTCACATCATGGCAGCTTTTCTGTTAGTTCATTTGTCTTGGGGCATTAAAAAGAACTGTTTATAACCCCCCAAATTTAAATCTAGAATAGTACTGCTAATTACAGCTGTCATGTATTGACTAGCTGGGAACTATGTTGTTTGCGTGTAATTGTGACTTTACAGATCCTCACAGTAATTGTTTCTAGTTGGTATTGGTGCCCTTCTTCTGTATGGGAGGAAACTGAGGCTCAGAGTTCACAGGGCATGAGCCACATAATTTCCTGAGGCTTGTCTCCCTCTGAGACCTGTAGTCCTTCTACTACTCATTTCCAGGCCATTTTATTTTTTTACAAGATTTATTTATTTATCTGAGTGCGGGAGAGGCAGAGAAAGAGGGAAGAGAATCCAAGCAGACTCCACGCTCAGTGCAGAATCCGATGCAAGGTTCAATCTCACGACCTGAACCGAAACCAAAAGGCAGCCACTTAACTGACTGTGCCCACCCTCCCCGCCCAGGGCATTTTAGACTAAAGGACTTGCTGATAATATTTTTTCCTCTAAAACAACTTTTTGGGATACCTTAGAGTTTCTACTATTACATGCTTTTTTTGAGATTCGAGAAAAGATTTACATTTCTTCTTCTGTCTACATGTTTGCATTGTGGGTTCTGAGGTCATGTTAAAGGGTACTTTTTAGTAATAGGATATATGTAATTTGCCATCTTTCCGAGATAAAATATCTTATTTTTCAGAAATATTGGCAAAATAATGATGTGTGAATATTTGCAGACTCCCAAACACTACTTCCTAGAAAGATTTCCCACCAGGTGTTCTCCCAAGGCCACGTCGTGGGTTTGGTTGAATCAACCCTGTGGCTACAGTGAAATAGTAAAGAGAAAATGGGCTTGAAGTTGGAAGACTTGGGTTTAAGGCTTGGTTTTATCCAGTGCTTCCCAGGTAGGATTTTGAACAAGTCGTCTATCCTGTATGTTCATTTTTTCCTCCAAGATGGAGATGAAACTATTTATCTCACCATCAGAGGGATTGAACTTTAAAGCACTACAGTGACATAATGACAATCACCTTCATTGCTGAGTGTCTTGGAGTTACCACGGAGGGATCTTTCAAAATAGTGCTGTGTCCTCAGAGCCCCATGAGGTGTCAGGGGTTTCCCCTGGGTTCTCAGGATGGAAAGTGTGTTTATATCTCCACGCCTTTTGAAAGGCTTCTGGGGCTATTGGCTTATGGTTAAGGACCAACTTTATTTCTAAAGTGTTTAAGTTTATTTTGATCCTAAGTTTAGGCAGGGAATGAAGCATGAGGGGAAAGGCAGTTCACGCAGCGATCCATGTGTCACCAAATGGAGAATCCACTCTGGTCTGGGAATTTTAGCTGAGTTCAGGAGAGTTGAGGTTTGAATTCTGTTTATACTTGGCCAAACACCACTTCCTGTTTCTAAAGAAAAGAACCTTTGCAAGGTTTGGACAGAGCCCATACGAATGTTTTGTAAGAGGGGAGTATAATGAGTTGGAAACATTTCCAGATTAGATTTCCCTTAAAATACCCTTGGGCTTAAAGAGTGAAGGGAGAGTACTTGGCAAGGCCTGGTTTGGACCTGTGAGCAGCTAGGACACTTTGCCAGGCTTGTGATTGCCACCAGATTGCACGGTCCCGGACACCAAAGCCCGTAGGCCGGCTCTGCCTGCTTGCTATGAAGCAGGACTTGAGATGAATCTGCAGTTTTACTGCAAGGTTTTAGGCCCATTATGACTTGTGGCAGTTTAGAAGTTCAGTCCTCTCTGCCTAAGTTAAATAGATTCTGCCTCTGTACTTTATTTTTCGAGCAGCTTTGAAAAATAGCTTGCTTTACAGGTGGTACCCTATTGAGACATGACACAGTATTATGACATTAGGTGCTTTGCCTGTTGGTGCTTTGTTTATTTTGGAAATCCACTTTAGGTGCATGCTATGCTTTTATTTTTATCTCCCAGAGGACTTATGGGAGGTTGAAGAGACTTAATTCATCCTGTATTGGAATCTTCCAGACTGGCATTTGAACTAAATAATTCACTGTCATCATCCATACCAAATTTAGATGGAAAACATCTTTTTTCAATGAGTATATATTACTTTTGTAATTAGAAAGAAGACTATTATGTTATGAAAATAAAGCAGTGTCCCTCATCAGAAGCCCCGTGTTGACATGTTACCCTTGTGCCTAAAGTAAAAGTGAGATGCCAACTTGGATCTCATTGCTCTTTCTGTTCTTTTGTAGGTATCTGTTACTAAGGCTGACCAAGAATTGGGATTTGCCATCCAAACGTGCTTTATCTCTCCATATTCAAACCCTGATAGGATGTCTGATTACACCATCATTGAAAACATTTGTCCTAAAGACGAATCTGTGAAATTTTACAATCCCAAGAGGGTGCACTTTCCTATCCCACAAGCTGAGATGGACAAGAAGCGATTCAGCTTTGTGTTTAAGTCCATTTTCAACACCTCACTGCTCTTTCTACAATGTGAGCTCACGTTGTGCACCAAGAAGGAAAAAGACCCCCAGAAGTTACCTAAGGTTAGCGGGCCTTCATCCATCTCTGTGTTATTTCGACATTTTTAGGTGAGGCAATGACCTACCGGAGAAGTTTAATCACGAGTTATTGCAGGTTGAGGTTTTTGGTTTGGGAACTGCCCAACTGAATTAATAAAATCTGTGCTAGCAGGGAACCGTGAGTTTTATGGAGTCTTAGAGAATAAATCCTGACAGTATGACTTTTTTTTTCCATGCATGCTACTTAGTAGTATCTCACAAATGATAAATCAAGACTGTTTTCCATTGAGGGAGAGGTCTGGCTTTATCTTTGCAATTCGGATAGTGTCCCTCCATAACATTCTATGCCAAAAGTACAGAGAGCCGAAAGGACAAGTTCAGTGTGAGGATTAATTTTTCCAGGTCCCGCTGAGACTTGCGTTGCAATTGTTTTTCGACCTTCTCTGTGTGAATTATAAGGTTGACTTGTCTCAGGAGGACTTCTAAGGGAAACTAACAAGTATTTTAATTTTCTCAGCTTCATATTTGTTCACCATGTTTGCCTCATATCCCTCCCCATATTGAACCCAGTACATTCTGTTGCCACAACAGAAATCAGAACACTTTGACCTTGTTGGAATGGCCGTGTAAGGGGAAATCTGCAAGGTTGATGACGATACCTCATTAGTTGACCTTGTGCAAGAAAGGTGTCTTCTGTCATAGTTTTGTTTCTGTGATCTGCCATGATTTTTTATAATTCCGTATGGGCACTTCTTCTGTAATTATCTCATACAGTGTCAGCTGACTTACAAAACTTTTGTAGTCACATATCAGTCCGTGTCTAAAACTAATGATTGAGCAGTATCAATAAATGTATGTGTGGAATTCTCTCTTAATATATAGGTTGTAAGATAGAGGTACAGAGGGAGGAGGAAAAATTACATTATTGGATAGATTACCACTGATCTGAATGCTTTACACTGTTATATTCCCCTGGGCATCCATTCCTCTGACAACACCAAAGAAAATTTTATACTACATATGACAGTGTAGCAAATCTGATCATAATCCTTTGGGAGCATGAATGTATAAGATGATTTAGATTATGTTCTTTAGGTTGCTTTTGGAAACATTGATGCCTTAACCTTGTGGACATTCGCCTTCCAGGGACCACCAGTGGACTGTGGTAGAGTCATGGGGAAGCTGAATGCTTGGCTGTGAGACACAGCTGCTCCCTGCAGCCAGAGGATGACTTTTAGGAGCTAGAGATCTAGGAGGGGAGGCCTGGCAGTTACTAGGGGTCTTTACTGTTGGCTTGTTTTTTGTTGTTGTTGTTGTTGTTTTTTTTTTGGTGGCTTGGTTGTTATCTGTCTCTGAGCCTGGCCTAGCACCATCCGTAGCATGTTAGTGTGTGAATATTAATCCTAATATTTCCCTCCATAACATTCTATGGAGAGCTCTAAGTCCCAGTGGATGACATAGGATGTGAAGTCCCTATTTACACCCAAGGCACGAGAAACTGGAAAGGGCATGAGGACTGAGAAGGAAGGCCTGCTGCTTACTAACAAGACTTGAAGCAAGTCCCCTGACCTCTCAGAATATGCATGGCTTCATCTGGAAGAGTGAAATAATAGTACCTGGCTTCCCTCGGGAGCAGAGGAACAAAGGAGACAGTAGATTTGACAACAGTCTGCCATTTATAGAGCAGTGGCTTCAGATGAGCTGTTACCACTGTCTTTGTGTTTACTGCTTGTAGTTAATATTTCCACAGTTCTAGTGACTTCTCAGATGATAACACAGAGCCAAAGAATCTTCTTAGGAGGAGTTCTCAAAGATCGCTGAGTCCAGCCCGGCCCTTAGCTGATGAAACTAAGGCTGGAGTTGAGTATCTTGTCCAGGGTCGAGCTGTGAGTTGGACGTACAATCGTGGACCCTTACTTAACTGAAGAACTGATAGCACAGTAAGAAGGCTTTTCCTAAAATGCAAATCTTTTCAATAATGAGGCCTTTCTACAGACAATCTGTTGTTTCCCTGTGCAAGACGCTTGTGTAAAGGCCTTTCTCTGGGCTTTGAGGGAGAGGAAGTTGTCTTCTTATAATACATTGCTCAGAGCAGCAATGACAATAAAGCCAAAAGACTTTGCTCTTTTGTGATTTGAAATTTATTAGCTTTGGGGAATGGCTTGGCTGTAGGCTTTTTAAAGGATAGATCTATTTCTTAACAACAAAAGCAAGTAGATGTCATTTACATTAGAGTTTCACCTATTGATGAGCGTAGACAAGGAACTAAAGTTATTTTAAAGGAAAAGGTACTGGAGTGTGATCATACTTTTTAAAAACAGGTATACCGAGCTGGGGCATGCTAATTCTAAGTTTGGGGCCTGAAAATAACTGGAAACAACTGTTCTCATGGTCCCCACACGTGGGTACAATTCCCCAGGGCTCCAGTTTGGAACACTGTAGCAGACGACCCTGGAAAGCGTCATTTTGAATGAGCCTATACCAGGATTTAAAAAATCAAACAAACTGGACAACATGATTATCTTTTTGGACAACAAATGTAAAATCTGTCACTTTCATAAGGCAGCACATGAAGTTTCCCACAATCACAAATCACAAACAGGAACCATTTATGTGAAGCCAGCTTGGTGAAGGGCCAGCACTCATCATATAGTTTCTTTACTTTTCAGACTAAATAACACTAAAACCTCTAGCTGTTTTGTGGGAAGATGGGGAAGAAAAGCAGTGTTTATAAGCCATCCAGTGATATTTGAATCTTCAAGTGCTGCTGAGACTATCCTGGGTCTGCCACTATATCTCCCAGATTATTTATGGTTCTTTGGAAAACACCCAGATCTCCTGTTTTTCTGTGGTAAACAGCTGTGAGCTGTCTGATAAGGGGCGCAGGACAACTGTGCAGGCCGAGCGGGTGCAGGCTCTTCAGAGTGACCCCTGACCCTGCTTTGCTCTGCCTCTCTGCAGTGTGTGCCCCCGGATGAAGCCTGCACCTCACTGGATGCCTCAATGATCTGGGCCATGATGCAGAATAAGAAGACATTCACCAAGCCCCTCGCTGTGATCCACCAGCAAGTAGAAGCTAAAGGTGCGTTTTGGGAGGCTCAGTCAGAGAATAGGGGCCTGAGGGCTGCTCCTTTTAAGAAGCTCCAGTATTAAAACAATGAAAAAGAAGCAGTAGCTCCAATACTGTAAATCAAAGTACAGTTGTATTCAAAAGATACATTAAGGGCTAGGGCGCCTGGGGGGCTCAGTTGGTTAAGCATCTGGCTTCAGCTCAGGTCATGACCTCAGGGTCATGGGATCGAGTCCTTAGTTGGGCTCCTCACTCAGAAGGGAGTCTGCTTCTCCCTCTCCCTCTGCCGTTCCCCTCACGCATGCGTGTGTGCGCATGCTCTCTCTCTCTCATTCTCTCTCAAATAAATAAAATATCAAAAAAAAAAAAAAAAGGGCCAATTAGTAACTTTAGAAAAGGATTTTTGCCAAAGGAGCCTTTTATATAGTTGGGTCTGCTCTGCCTTATGGCTGAGTTATTAGTGATAGGTTTGCCAACGATTTCCTCTTTTAAATATTAGATCAAAGTTGTCCCTATCCCAATGTCACTCTCCCTTGCCATTCAAATATCTTCCTCAAGTATGGAGGGAAGCCTCCGAGGTCCTCCTCGCATGCCAGGATTGAACAGCCCCCAGCCCATCTTTCATGATCTACTAGCAGTGTTTGTGCTGAGTACAAGCAGTCCCAGGGCTGTGTCCAGATCGCAGATGCCTTATTGCGGGGGAAGGGTGTTGTGTTTGTGAATACCATCCATCTTAGGTCAGAGCAGAAGAAAGGTGGAGAACTACTGTCCAAATGCATTTTTATAATTCAGGTTTCAGAATTGCACACAGTCACATTTGTTGCTTGAAGCCAAGGGTGCCTCTTCCTACACACATAGGAGCATTCAGCAGTCTGCACTTTTGTAGGAGAAAAGGAAGGTTGCCATCCTAGGAGATGTGGCCTCAGGTGGCCAGGCAAAGGCAAAGCCAGACCTAGTGTAGGCCAAGTCAGCCAAACCAATAGAGAAGCAGAACTGGGCTCCACGGGGGTGTTAGGAATGGACCTGAGGCCCTGTGGACTGTGGAAAGCGTCTGATGGGACGGGCATCACGACTGAAGGGCACTGATGGGCAAGAACACATCAAGCATCTGGCAACATCTGGGGGGGATGGAACCAAAGGCACATTCAGGCTATCTGGGCAGCTACATTTGTCACTAAAAACAACCTATGACTACCTAGAAACATTGTCTAAGGGTGCCAAACTAAGAGAGGTCTGGGAGAGTAAAAGTGGATTCCTAGCCTCTGGGGTTAGATATTTCGGGGCTAGGTCTCTGGGCCTCCTTCCACCACCCCAAGGGGCAGAGGAGAAACACGGCACTGGAGCCTTGATAAAAGCCAGCAAGCATCCTGTCTCCAGTTGGTGAGCATTGGCTGGGAGACCTGCTGGGTGGAGCTGCTACCACGCCTAGGCTTGGGGGCAGCCCTGGGATGGCCTTTCTGATCTAAGCACTGTTGGATTTGGCAAGGCCAGGCAGCAGGGGCTAATAGAATAAGCACACAGTACCTAATAGAATGGATGCTGTCTACTTTGTTCTTTGGTGGAGTGACCTTTGTGAAAATAGCAGTGCCATTCTTGCTGACATATCTGGTGGTGGCATCTGCCCTTTTCCTAGGGGCATGCTCACTTTGGAAAGGCAAGAGAGTATAGTGGGGAGGGTGTGGCTTAGAGTCAGGAGCCTGGGGCACAACTCTTTCCCTGCTAACTGGGTATGGGACTTTGGAGATCTCTCCTTCTGTCCTTGACTTTCATTTTCTATGTCTGGAAAAGGAAGGGTTTAGACCAGATGGCTTCCAAAGACCCTTTCAGCTGTAACACTCAGCTCTACTGTTTGAAGAAGCCAAATAGATTTTAATTCATTTCCCAGTCATCCCGAAAGGGGTGTGAAACATACATAGTAGATGTTCATTAGTTCTTCAGCAACACCTTTTGTTGTTGCTGTTTGTTTTACTTTGACTGATTGGTTTTCAACCATTTTATTTTATTTTATTTATTTTTTATTTATTTGACAGAGACAGACACAGTGAGAGAGGGAACACAAGCAGGGGGAGTGGGAGAGGGAGAAGCAGGCCTCCCGCCGAGCAGGGAACCCGATGCGGGGCTCGATCCCAGGACCCTGAGATCACGACCTTAGCCGAAGGCAGTCACCCAACCGACTGAGCCACCCAGGTGCCCCGGTTTTCAACCATTTGAAACAGTGTACCAGCCACAGTCCTTCTTTAAATGGATTGCTCAGGAGCACCTAGGTGGCTCAGTTGGTTAAACGTCCGACTCTTGGTCTCAGCTCTGGTCTTGATCTCAGCTGAGGTCTTGATCACAGGGTCATGAGTTCAAGCCCTGCATGGGCTCCATGGAGCCTACTTTAAAAAAAAAAAATTGTTTTGTGTTTTTTTAAATTTATTGCCCAAAGAGTTCCCTGTTTATTGGGTCCAAGGGGAGGAAATAAGTAAATTAATTGGGTTGCAAAGTATATCACAATCGGGCAACAGCTGGCTGCATTTTGTACTGTGAAAGTGGTTTAACAATAACAACCGCTACCTCGTACTCCGTCTGTTACTCTTACCTATTTCCAGAGATACAGTTCTGTGGGTAACTGATGGCAGCAGCCTGCTTTTTTTTCTATGCCCGAAACTAATTGGGCATTAATACTGCAGTAGTATAACTTCTAGTAATTCATTCATGCTTCTTTTAAGTTTGGTGGTATTTTTCTAAGTAATTCCTCTTGTAAATTAGGTAGTTACTTTTATTTAAACTTAGTGTAATTATCCTGAAAGCTCAGTGTTCTTTTACATAAAAGTTCAACAAGAGGAAAGTTTTACCAAATATCAAAGCAGTTTCACGAGAGTAGCTTTTAGTGGAGAAACGTGCAGTGAAGAAAGTTCATTGTTTAGGTTTTAAACAAATGCAGGTTAGACTGTAGGCCAGCTTCCCAGGGGCTGCGTGCAAATGTGCGTTCTAACTGCACTGAGTGGGGTCGGTTTTCTGGCAGTTTTCAGCTCTGTGAGTGACTCCTCCCACCTTTTATGTTTATTTTCTTTTGACTCTGGAATCATTTCTCCATGAGGCAGGCCACTGGAGTCTGTGCTTTCCCTCTGCCTCTCAGTGAATTGGAATAGTAACTTGAAGTGGGAATGTGACCATTTGCTTAATAGCATTAGTTTATTTGAATAATAGCAGGGTCATGATCATTCTTCCTGCCAGCTTTGTATGTTACTGTTGTAAGCCACAGATACTATGGTATCTCTGGAAGTATCTCTTACTGGAATGAATTTTAGGGATAAAAATTGCTCAAGCAGTGGGATGTTTCACTGTCCTTGTTTTTTTTTTTAAAGGTTTTATTTATTTATTTGACAGAGAGAGAGAGGTAGCGAGAGCAGGAACACAAGCAGGGGGAGTGGGAGAGGGAGAAGCAGGCTTCCTGCCGAGCAGGGAGCCCAATGTGGGACTCGATCCCAGGACCCTGGGATCATGACCCGAGCCAAAGGCAGATGCTTAATGACTGAGCCACCCAGGCGCCCTCACTATCCTCTTTTAACCACACAGATACTCTTTGAAGGCTGTGCCGAAGTTCCAGGTCTCCATAGTCATTTGGTCCATCTTATTTTTCAACACTTGGGTTTTCTGGGGCAACAGCAGATAAAGTCTCTGGTTATTGGCTTCACAGCCAAGCAGAGAGCTGCTCTGTAGCTCCCAATACCAATGGCGTGGACACATTTCAGGTGGTGTTTCTTCCTTCTGTGGACAGAGAGAATAGGCCAAGACTAAATAACTCTGGGTCCCTCCTCTGGGCCACCATTTTTAATGGAACTTGCCCGAGCCTCTGCAGCACGGAACCACCATCTCAGTCCCTTGGGAATCAGCACTGGGTTAACATTCTTTTGCTGCTAAAACTTTCAACAGTAGATGACGGTGCTGGTGGTGATGATAGTCGTAGAAATGACAACAATGATTATCTCACATTTACTGAGCATTTACTTGGTACAAGGCTCTGTGCTAAATGCTTTGTGTGGATCCTCGTATTTAATCCTCATAGCCCTTCTGTGAGGCAAGTATAGAGCAAGAATAAGTAACTTGACCAAGGTCACACCACATATAAATAAGTGGTGGATCTGGGATTCAAATCCAGGCACTTTGATTCCAGAGTTTGTGCCTTTCTAAACCCTTTGCCTTATGCTAGGTGGAGGTTGATTCTAGTTTTTGAGAAACTACAAGCAACATTGACATCTATCTCTTGACATCCTCTTCCCACCTCCTTCTCCTTTTCATGCCATACATATCACATTGGTGTTCAAGTTCACATCCAAATACTCTAATTGACTGTGAACTGAAAAGATGAAGAATTTTAGGAAAAAAGTCTGTTCTCCAGAGGGTAAGATGTTGGGAAACATGGAAGCTGTTTAAGAGAGTCTTAAAATTTAGAAGTTCTGTGACTTTGAATTGTAACTCACAAAAAAAAGCCCAGAAAACATGAATACTTTATGCACATTATGGTTTATGGCAAAACAATTAAAATAGTTGAGGTAGTGCCATCCTGCCATATTTTCTGAACTATTTTGAAGTATAGGCATGGTAGTGCGGTTTGCTTTGGATGCTGTGACCATTTTTGTGGCATTTGAGAACAGTAGGGCTTACACAATAAAAATGGCTATACCACGTCAGTGATAATTTTTTGCGAACGGTGAAAGGGAAAAGTTATCATTTTTCTGAAATTTAGGGCACATATAAAAAAGCGAGTGAGAAAGAACAATAAACATCATCCCCAAACAGGCCATGATTTATGTACGACATGTAATTCTTAGCAAGTTAAATGTTCAAAATACTGAATTTCCACTACATAACTTTTCAAAAATAAGTGTGCTCAGGACAACACCTGGCATATCATGGGCACTCAGTAAATATTAATTTCCTTTCCTTCCTCTTAACCTCTCAGCCAAACTAGGTTTTTGGGGAGAGTAGGGGTGGACAGGGAATGAAAAGGAAAGTTGTGAACGTCA